GCCCCCGCGTCCCGGAGCCCCGCAGCAGAGGCTCTGCAGTCGCGGCTAGGCGCGCGGAGGGCACACCCCGCCCGGGGGCGACGTGCACGAGGGTGGAGCCGCCGAGGGCCCGGGTGCTGGTGCCGACGCCGCCGCGCCGTCCTGGGACACCCTGCGGAGGGGCTCGTGGCTCGTGTGAGCCTCCTGCATGGAATGGGGGCATAGGTGGCCGAGGGCAGGGCTGTGGCAAAGGCGCCAATGAGATTAGGGGCGTGAGGCTCTCTGCGAACTGTTAAGTGCCGAGGTCCCGGGGAAGGACTGCAATCAGGGCTCGCCCACGCCCTGCCCGGCCCCGTCCCCGCCCGCGCGTGGCCTTGGCCCTGCGCGGGCACCCCTGGGAGCCTGTCCTCCCGGCGCGGCGGGTCCTCGACGGCGGCCTCCAGGGAGGCATGTGCCCTTGGGAGAGCCGGGGTGGGGGGCAGACCCTGTGTGCACAACGAGGCCTGTGCCAGGGGAGCAGATGTGCGGGGACGAGGGCGGGGTGGCATGCGGGAGGAGGTCGCCTGCAGGGACTTGGAGGGGCAGAGCCTGTGCCCCCCACTCCCTGCTGAGCGAGGTGGGCTTGCGGCTGGGGTGCGGTGGGCTGGGCTCTGGGGACAAGGACGCTTTATGTTATTGACTAGGGTGCCGTGCCGAGGAACCTAATAAGAGCCCCTGGCGCCCCAGCCTCTTTGGGGAAGCCCCAGAGTTTCTGGCCTCCCCGGGAGTCCCCGAATCTTAGTCACCTTCGGGCCTGAGTCCTCACTGTCTGGACGGAGATGATGTTGCTAGCGCCATGGTGACTACACATCGCATGTGCCCAGAACTGTACCCGTGTATGCCTGTAGTCCCGGCCTAGTTAATAGTGCCCCTTTTTACTGTCAAAAATGCCCCCAGAGTTAGGAAGATCCATCACGTCACCCCCCTCCTACTCACTCAGGGACATCTCTGTACTGGGTACTGCCCCACGTGCTGTATTTCATCCTCACAGCATCCAGAGAGGGAGGTAGGAGCCTTCCTGCTTTTGTGAATGAGAAAACTCAGGCACAGAGAGGTTAGGTGACTTGCTCAGGGTCACACAGATAATAACTAGCAGAGCCAGCTCGGGGGCCTCAGCGATGTTTTTTCTGGATAAGGCAAAGCCACAGGACAGACTCCACCTTTTTATTCAACAAGGTCACTGCTCTTGAAAGTCTTTGCTGAGGTTGGGCGGTGCTGGGGTGGTCTGCGTAGTTCTGTGCAGGTGTCGGTGTGGGGATGTGTGGGGGCTCATGACTCTGCCACCTGCTGTCTACCGTGCCACCTGCTGTCTACCGCCTGTTGCTCTGCTTCATTTCAGAGCAAAATTTGCTCCCCACTTCCTCACCTCCTAGTCACCCTTCAATGCCTTCAAACATATTTCTGTCCCCACCATGCCACCAAAAATGGCCTGTCAAGATTACCGCGGATCTCCATGATGCTAAATCTGACAATCACTGTCCTCATCCTTGTCGACCTTCAGAAGCTCCTGGCACAGCTGGCCACTCCTTTCTCAAAGCACTTTCTTTCCTTGGCTTCCTTGTCACCACACTCCTGGTTTCCTTGTATCTCGGAGGCCTCACGTCCTGGCCTCTAATGTGGGCATGTCCTCGGGCCCAGGCTCTTCCCTCCCAGATGAGCTCCTCCAGTTGCAGGGCTCTAAATACCACCCATTCCCTGGTGAGTCCCCCGATCACCGGACTGTGACCAGAGCTGCCCGCTGACCGCCACGGTTACCAGTTTCTCGTTTTTCATTCCTGAATCCTCTGTGCATATTCAACTATATTCTTCCTGTACGTTTGACCCATGGGGGATACTGTGTACACTGTTCTGCAGTTTGCTTTTTTCATTTAATGAGATAGTGGACATTTTCCCCTTCCAGTAGGTAGAGAGCTGTCTTGCTCTGGTTTTTTTTTTTTAAAACAGCTGAATGGTATATATACTATAATATATGAGGGTACTTCAAAAAGTGGAAAAATAGGGCCGGCTTGTGGCTCACTCGGGAGAGTGTTGTGCTGATGACACCAAGGCCACGGGTTCGGATCCCATATAGGGATGGCCGGTTAGCTCACTTGGGTGAGCGTGGTGCTGACAACACCAAGTCAAGGGTTAAGATCCTCTTACGGTCATCCTTTAAGAAAAAAAAAATTGGAAAAATAGAATTAAAGGTAATACAAATATTTCCGTGAACTTTTTGAAGACCCTTCATATTTAGTCAGTCCCATATTAATAAAAATTAAGCTGTTTCCAGTCTTATCTTTCTTTCTATTAAAACACCATTGCAATGAATATCCCCGGACAAGCATTATCTAATACATTTTAAAAATTGTG